AATGTAACTTTTTAGACGCTTTTAGCTACGTTTTCAAGATTACTGTGTGCTATGCAAATACCGCATGTACTTAATATTTTTTACCCTATATTTCACAAAAAATCTCTCTTTCTTTTTTAGAAGCAAAAAAAATCGTATCTTCATGTCCCTCCTCTCTACTACAAAAATCTTAAATTATGATGTCAACAATGGGGGAACTCGTAGATTTTAAAAAGTATCCACAAAAGGACTCGTTTGAAATGCCAAATGAGGGACACCCATTAAAGCTCTTCGCGTTCATGGATGGCTGTTCTGGTGGAGTAGTAGCAGAAACAAGTGACTGAAAGTAGAAAAAGTGCTGGAGCCTTGTATACCTCCTTGGTTTCAGATCAAATCTTATCCTCGAATCTTTCTTCACCAAACTTCCGACTTCTTTCATAGCTTTTTGGAAGCATTTGGGATACTTTGTAAAAAAAAAAAAGAGAGGAAGCACCTACCTTTCCTTCTAACATTCGCAGTTTCGATAATCTCGCTTCGCTAGCTTGAGGAGCCCTAAATTACTTTCCAAACATCAACAGGGTTATTAACACATATCATTGCACATTGCTTAGATGGAAAATAGGAGCTCAGGCGAACCAGTCAAGTGTTACAATTTTGAAGTGCAGCACATAAAAAATTAAAACAAATGGAACCTATAAAGGCTTAACCTCATAATGGCATATTACAAAACACTAAAGATTGACAAACCCCTACTGTATCCAAATTCTCGCACAAGAAACATCAATCAAAATCACAATAAGACTTAGATGAAGGCTTGGATGCTAAAATAATTCTCATTTTCTATTTTCAATTAAGGAAATTGACTGCACAAAGATATGCTCTGAACAGTCCACAACTCTTGCTGCTATAAGCAAATCGTGAACAGCTGTAACTTGTGCCTAACTCTGGGATACGAAATGGCAGGGATTTACATCATTTAAGAGGAAAAGTTCCTTAGTTGACTGCATCTTACCTAAACCGCATAGGAATTCATTTTGAGCAATCTTTGGAGTCGATGTCGCTTCATGAAGAATTCTGGAGCAAAATACATTCA